AATACTATTTTTATAAAGTCACTTTTCAGAATAAAAGTATATTTTAATGATAAATTAACTGTTTTCATTGCACTTGATTTCTTTGGGCCTTTAGATCAAAAGAGAAATGCACAAATAATGGAAAGATGAAAAAATATATTAAGTCACAACACACTTGTAACAGATGCCCTGTAAAAGTATCATTAACTGACGCTCCACTGATTGAGAAGACTTAAGCAGTAAGATCTTAATAGCAGTATCCATACCTATGGTTTCTGGAACTGAGAATCTTTAACTCACACAGGCCTAATGGAAAGAGTCCTGAACAATGTGTCCAGAAAACCCAACAGAAGAACAGAAAAATTCTCATGTGGAAGCATTAAACATAACTTTAAAATTTCATAACTTTGAAACTGATTCCCTGAAACCTCATTTTTAAGACTCAGTGAAACACACAAATTTAAAATATCTAACTTCAACTGTTTTTTTAATATGCTTTTCAGTTCCAGGATCTTTGGCAACTCCCATGTGTTCCAAAGAGCACTTAATTATTATAATATATATATATTTATAAAATGTGGTACTATACCCAGTGTTCATATATAGCAAAAATACTGTGGTTCCAACTGTTTTCTAAAAGTATAAACAACAGTGGAAAAGATAAATGTAACAAATGTTAAGGTTAAAAAGCTTTTTGTGACGCTAAATGATCTCCCATTCACCCATATTTTTACACACACACACACACACACACAGAAAGTATTTTCTATTTCATGAATGTTCCTTACCATTTTCTATGTAGCCTGGAACATACAAGGCTCGGCTCTGCCTGTGGCCAAGTCTGACAGTCTGATTTCTCCCCAGGATATGCACTTTTAAGTTGTATCTACCATTTCCCTTGAAAGATGTAAAGTACTTTGAATAGATTCCATCATTCTTGGTAATATCAGCACCTAGGCATACAAATAGTAATAATTAACCATCCAAACAAGGTACCTTTGTTAAGCAAGGGCATTTTGTGCTGTTCAGTTCATAAACACATAGGGCCTACTCCTTCTTCTATTGAAATCAATAAGAGCTTTGATAGGGACAGGTCCCATTGTGGTGACATGAGCTCATTAGATATTTAACTGGAGATAACAATGTAGCATTAAAACATGTTACTGTGTATTTACTGTTGTTTCCAATAGTAACCAATAGGCCAGTACTTCTCAACTGCTTCTTAGTAGTTCACCATAGTCGTCTGATCTGTGGAGCCCTTCTTGGTGGTCTGCAGACAAATACTTTGAGATTGAAGCAATGCTGGAATGTGGGGAGGAGAGAGTCTACAGTTTCCATGACATGGTTCAGATAATGGAGAAGTTGGAGAACAACAGAACTGTGCATTTGAATCACATCACCTCTGTAGGCACAGTAGATTGGAAAAGGAGAATAATAATCTATGTAATTCATACTTTCAAAGGAGATATTTTTAACATAGCTATACTGCCTCTCTAGCATGTGACAAGCTATAGAAACAGACTCTTGCTCTCCTGTTCTGCCACCTGCATCCCCTCTGCAGGGCAGACCAGTGTGTAAAAGATACATAAGTTCTAACAGTGAATATGGTTGAATCAGTAGACCTCCTTCTGTCCCTGTGCTGGCTATTTGCATCAGTGGTAACAGCACAGGTGAGGGAGAACGCTCTGCACAACCACAACACTCCCTTCTTCTTGGGCGCAGTTTCTCTCTCTCCTCCTTCCTAATACACCCAACCGTGTAAGGGCACAAGCATGTCAGGGCACACATACTGCACCAGTTTAGACCCACTGCAGTTTACTCTCATCCTGAAGCAGTGGGGGAGACCAGAGTTACCATCTCCCTCCACTTGCTACCCCTTTCTGTGCTCATGGCATAGGCATGACTGAACCCTTTGTGATAAGTTTGGAAGCAACGTGCAGAGACATTCTAAAATACATACCACAAAATGGGTTAGACAAAAATGTAAGGAAAGTAATAATCAGATTACCGGAACCATCATCAAGGAGTCTGAGCTCCATTGCAGATCCATTCTCTTGTTCAACAGTGGCCATCACGGTTGCACCAAGAACAGGCAAAAATCCTTGACTAACTTCTGCATAAATCACCATTGGATTAGGGAAGTTGTTTGTATCCTTGTTCATGTGGGCTTTCACAGTCACTGGAGGCGCAGCCAAAGATGCTGCTCGAGACGTTACTATCATTGATATGACTTGAGATTCTGTGTGGTTATTTTTAATCGTATAAAACCAATCCCCC